GTGAGATTTCGTTAAATTTTTTTTGTTAAATTGTTGACATGACACATTATATGGGGCACATATAGCCAATGAGAAAATGTCAAGTAGATCTAAATGAAGAAATGTTTATTTTTTAAAAAAAGTTTTACATTTAAAATCTTTTTTTTTTTTAATTTACAAGAGAGAAAATTTTCAAAACATACATTTTTTATTTATTCAAATCCACTTGGCATGTTATTAATGGACATGTAGACTCCACATAGATGTCGCGTCAAATCCGTTAGTTTTGTTGAAAAACCTAAATGCTTTTGAAAAATAGTTTAATATTTAAAATATTTTTAAAAGACAAATTAAAAAAGAGAGAAATTTTTCAAAACATAATTTTTTTTATATTCAAATCCACTTGGCATGTTATTATTGGACATGTATGTTCCACATACATGTCATGTCAAATCCATTAGGTTATGTTGAAATTTTCATCAATTTCCCAAACCTCATGGACCATTTGTGATAAAACTCAAAATGTTTAAAACATTGTTTAATCCACGTGGCGTCCATGTCCACGTCAGCAATCTAACGGAAAATTTGACGAAACCTGACGGCGGGACCAAATTGATGTGTGAGGTGTAACATAAGGGACTAATAATGTCATAAAAAAACATAAATGACCAAAGGTATTTGGCGAACCCCAGAGACCATTTGTGATTAAAAAAACCCTATACAGAATGCATGCATGCCATTAGCCGATGATGGTTCAATTAGATGGAGATATATAGATATATAGTTACTATTTTTTGAAAACTTGACCCAAAAGAAAGAAAGAAAGAAAGAAAGAAAACAGTAGTTCAAATTTGAACGAACAAGAATTGCTCTCGTCAATTCTGGATTGCAGTGTTTGGCAGAGGATCAGCATGAGCTCCTACTAATTTGAGACCAACAACTTAAATATAAATGGCAACGTCTTTCTCCATAATATCTCTCCCATACATTTCTTCATCTGACTCCTATGTACTCAAGTACTAGCTAGATCCATTTGGTTTGAAGAAAAAGAGACCATGTCCAAGGCATTTTCCTTCTACATTGTTGCTCTCTTGGGCCTCGTTTAGTTCATAGAATGAATTTGAGGGGAAATAATTTCCGATGTCATTCCCCAAGAAATAGGAATGAAAAATTCATTTCCCACGTTTGGTAATGCTACGAAAGTAACTGGGAAATATCACTTTATTTCATTTCCTATGTTTGTTTTGAATAGGGATGGAAAACAAAGTTTGTATAAATTTTCAATTATACCCATATTAAATCAAATAAAAAAAGAATGCATTTAATGACATATTGTAATTCTAAATTGTTAATGGGGGATAAAATGGTCATAAAAAATATGTATTTAATGTTAGCTTATTTTCCCAAACTTTCCCATGATAATGGAAAATAAAACCCAAGTTGGGAGGATGGCTTCACTTTCCCTCTACTTTCCCATGAGCCAGGCAACGATTTCCCATACCTAAACTTACCAAACATGGGAAAGCAATTGATTTCTCATTCCCAAGTCTTCTTTCCCATGAATCAAACGGGACCTTGGTGTTTTCGCTTTGCGTTGCAACAACAAATGCCAATCAAATCGGTAATGGCGCCATGCGGCGTGACCAACCGGTTCGTTGTTGGGGGTCACGTTGCATACCTCTGCCAAGCAACTCTTATGGCAGAGGTTGTGAGGAGGCCAAGTGCAGGGATGGTCATCGGAGACTAAAGTAAGTCCCAAAGAATGGACCTTTATTAAAAAAAGACGATGAATTCAAGCCATTGCTAGGTTTCCACCGTGTAACTAAAGATCAGGGATGTCCATTCTTCTTATATCTATTCGTTCTGACCATATTTTGTACATGATTTTTTTGGTCAAAACTCTGTACATAATTATGCTTGAATTATACTTTGGGTATTTCAAAATGTATTAGTTTTTGGTGTCCTTCGTTATCTTCGTTTTTCTGGTGCCCTTTGTAATTCAAATTCATAAAACATGCTTATTATCATCTTTATTTGTCTTCTTTATTGCATTTGTGTGACTCTGGAATTTTCTGGAATTTAATAAGAATTAAATGATTTTGATGGATTATTTGATAAATTTTGTGAAAATTATTAGTTAGTTACCATTGGTGAATGTTAGAAATTTCTAGGGAATTATTTGGATTTTTCCCGATATTATTTATTATTTTATAACTAAATTACTTAGGAGAACTATTTAAATTTTTCTAGAGGTCATAATTAATTTGAGGTTATAGAATGATAGTACGTGGTACATGGAGTTCGTAACATTTTTGGTGTCCAGAGGTATTTTTAGTGAGTTTTTAAAATTGGACCATTAAAAAAAAGACACATGGCAATTGTTGGTCGAACACCTTGGGCTCACCCGAGGCCCTAGGATCACGAGACGGTAGGTGTGACAGCTCAACTACACTTGTCAAGTTGTAAAATACGAGTCACCTTATTGTTTTGTTTTCATTTTTGTCACTTCTCCCTCTCATCCTCCGCTCTCACTCTCTCTCAAAATCTCATCCTCACTCCCATTTTCTTCTACGCTACTCTAGCACAGAAACTAAAAACTAAAAACTAAGAAATGGTTATCAAACCAACCCTTAATGCATAAATATCCTATTGTCACAATATCTTAGACGAATTGCGTGCAAATATCTATGGAACAAAATTTGTTGCAATCTCACGTAATAGGAAGGGCAAACACATTAGAGCTATATATAATAAAAATTATTGATCCTCTATCCATTGCACGTCTAGGGAAACATGCATACGCTACTTTCTCAACAATGTAAGGTCGCACCAACGATATTGTAGAATGTATGTACATTAATTGGAGAGTTCTTTTAAGAAATGCATCGTGATATCATATAATGCAATTAAAAGATTGAAACCGTCTATATTTTAGGTTATCTTTCAAAAATATTTGTCTAAAAGAATCCAGATTATAAACTTTTTTTTTATCAACTAAAATGTGCGGAAAAACCTCTCATTGTTGCCATCATTATGGCTAAATTAGTGATGGGTTGTAGGGAGTATTCGAACATAGGACTTTGGTTACAAAGGTAACTACTCATAAACACTTAAGCTATAAGCCCCTTGCAAATATTTTTTTTTTTTAAATTTAAAAACTTGATACTAGGAGTAGCAATTATCGACATGACCACATAAACGACTCAAAATCCACACAAAATTTATATATGTCAACCCACACGATAAAAAATTCGGGACCAATTCGGGTCATCACGCTAAGAAATGATTAATAAATTTGTGGATTTCAAATCAACCATTCAACCCATTTATTAAGGGCCCATTTGATAACCATTTCATTTTTAATTTTTCAATTTTCATAATTAAAAAAAATGAAAACAAGAAACTTGTTTGGTAACCAATTTTACTCTTTAAAAGTTGTTAGGTAACTAATTTCATGTTCATGTTGGAAATGATACATATATTTTTGGTCAAATTGTGAATTTCAAGTTATAGAATGAAAGCGTATGTTCAAAAGAGTCCGTCGTATTTTTTGAAGTTAAAATGAATGTTTGGTGAATTTTAGATCTGGAGGTCCTAGGGCTAAGATTGGGTCCGCGACACAAAAGTCGAGCGGCTAGGTATAAGTCGGGAGGTCCCGAAAGTCGAGTTTTGGTAAATGGAGCGCATTGTATGTATGATGATGTAAAATTGGTGAATGAGAAAGGTGGGCAAAAAGTTTGAAAAACTAAAAACACTTTGAAATTGGTTTTAAAAATAAGTATGATTTCGAAAGCCAATTTTCTTTTTTCTTTTTTAAATGAAAAATGAAATTTCTTACCGAACATGTTTTTAATTAATTAAAAGGATTAAAACATGCTAACGGGTTTTTAGATTAACCTAACAATTCCACTTAGCCTATTTCTCAAACGGGTTATATTCGAGTTGGACCCTTGATAGTACAGCTAGGGGAGATGTTGTAAATGCTGACAAGGAAACACAACACTCATGATCTGCAGTTTATATTCCCAAAGTTCAATTTTTATGATGTATTGCTCCTACCTTTTCTATTTCTTTTTGTTAATTATTGTAAAAATACGATGATGGATTGATAACAAAACAAAATTGCAGATCTTCCACAAAACATCATTGAAAATGTCAAGGGAATCCCCAAGGGTTGCTTGAATCACATCTCTGGCATCCCCTTCTATCACAACCATTAAATCTTATATCTTGGATCGCTGCATGTATAAAACCATTAAATTTTGCTGCTAAAAAAATTTTCTTCTTACTTGATCATATTTGTTTACAATATCCAAAGGTATTCACTATTAACTTTACATCTTCCCAAGTTTTCTCAAAGTTAGAGGTATGCATGCAGAACGAAAAAAATCAACAAAATGATTTTTAAAAAATTATAAAATTCTCAAAGTTTTATCGAATAGGGTTTTGCTTTTTAGGTTTATGTGGATTTTAGGTTCGAGGGCATTTATTTAGGTGCGTTTTTAGCTATTTATAAAAGTTTTTATAAAAATTGACATTTATGAAACTAGAGTAAATTTTGATTATTTTTTTATAAAAACTCCTACTTTGGTACATAAAATGGATTGGATAAGTCACTAAATCTAAGGTATATTGAAGGAGGAAATAAAGGTAGAGGTGAATGACTTTCAACGTTGGGGGATTAGAAGGGATTAGTAATAAGGTATTGTAATCCTACCATTTTGTGATGATTAGATGGGATAAGTTTAAAAAATTTCATTTCTTCCTTAACATGTCTAAAACATAGGGGAGTATCAAATCCAATCCTATACTAGTCACCAAACTTGGCCATACCACGTCCTTCAGATGGGCTATTGTTTGCAAGCAGCTTCAGGGAATTTTCATTTCAGTATCAAAGTTACTAGAGAGGTTTCGGTCAGATTATCTTATTGACCTAAAACACGTTAGCATGAGAAAGATGACATTATATCACAGTAGAATTCCTTTCATGTCTAACATCGGGAGGGAAATCATGAACTTGATTTTAATGACTGAAATCTTTATAATATAAAAGCGGAATCAATACATTTACAGAGATTGTCTTTCAACATTAGATGCAATTCCTAATAGAAACACAGGTTTTTTGGTAAAACAAAATGAAACAGAAGGATAGGTACCAAAAAGATGGTTACAGAAGAAAAAGACCAAGCTTTTCTCAAATAAGACAAGTAAATTGAATTGATTGCATTACCGCTTCCAGGTTGTGCCTTCTTCACTTAGGGAATTGCATGAAAGAGAACCTTTGTATTGTCATGGTTCTTCCAAGACTTTTCAATCGTCCTATGGCAAAGAATCCTTGGATCAGCCATCCGTCCAAGAACTTTTAGTAGGTAGAATCATGACCAGGACTATCTGCATGCATGTCCATCGAGGTATCATTGGAACTTGGCGGATTAGCATCCCGGTTCGGGTGGAGAAAGCTAGGTTCATTGTTTCGAGCTCCATTTCCAGATGGCAGACCTGCACCTGGGTAATATCCATCTTGAGAAATGTGATAGTGCTGAAGACTCTGGCGAACAGGGCTTGACAGAGCATTTGAGAAGACTGAATTTTTAGATTGGTGATCACATTGCTCAGAACGAATTCCCTGCCCAGTATTTGTTGGGCCAGATGAGCCAGAAGAAACTGGGAAACCTGAGTTTGTGAAATGCACAGTGGGCTGAAGATGCTGATGTTGAAGTGGCACCCTGGGGGACATTGACGGCTGCTCCTCTCCACAATAGTCCAACTCATTCTGCATGAAGGCAAGAAGAAATTTGTAAGCTGCAAAAATGAGTGAAGTCCGTACCGAATAAATATACACATATGGATGAACTATTGTCATCCCTAGGCAAAGTAACTAGAATAAGTAACCGATCTTGAACAATTAGATTCAAGATTTAAAACATTCCAATTTTTAAACATTTTAATCCTAATCCTCAATTGTCAATCTTTGAACTCATTCACAACTACTACTTTACTATTACTAAACCCTATTATTATCTTTTTTAATACCTGAAATCCCTCAAACCCACATCCTGGACTCAGCTCCAAAACTAGGGCCTCTGCCAATCCCTACAATCTTTTGAAGACAGAAAACTCTAGCAATAGCTAAATATGTACCTTTAGGAATGTAGCACTACACTAATAAGATTAATAATCATAATAATAATAATATTGTTATTATTATTGTTGTTGTTGTTGTCGTTACAGTAATTGTTATTACTATTATTGTTGTTCTTAGGATTTTATTATTAGGGGTTACTCTAGCATATTCGTCTGACAATAAGGTATTTGAGTTTACCACAATCGCCTCACTTTTTCCCTTCAACCTCTATTCTCTCCTCCTATTATTGTACATCAATTGGTATCACAACAATCCTTGTTCTATAAATTCATATCGAGAGATCAACTGGCTAAAACAGTGTCATAAAATCCAACTGAAAATATCTATTTCCAAAAGGCACATCTTTTCATCGGTAACCTGTTTTTGGCCACTAATAATGACTTGATGCCCTAATGCAACAACTAAATTTCTCCATTTGAACCCAAAGGGAGAGGATCAAAACAATGTTGAAAATGTTTGCAAAAGCATTTCATCAGTGAACTAATTCATTGATGATCACAATGAAAAAAGCCACACAAAGTAAAAAGTCACGACTCCTGAACATGCAGAATCTGTAAAATCATGTTAATGCAACATATTGTATTACATCAAGTGATGATACATTTCATCTGCATTGGTTAAGCTCATAAGACTATAATCTAAGTTTATTTAATCTTATAGAAATGTACAGTCATTGCATACTTTTTTTTTTTGGTTCTATCTTATTCAGCACGTATCCATGTCTAGTTCAACATCTTAATCATAACAGAGAAGAATCTCCGGAATGAAGCACATGAAGTGAATTTAAATTAGTACAAATCAGAGGAAAGGAAACATTCCACTGTAGGTGTGACAAGAACCTTAAGCACAGATTCTTATTTGCTGGATATTAAAGGGTAGAAAAGTATTCCCTTGCAAACCTCATGAAAGAGCAAGTGAAAATTGAAAAGTGAGAAGCATATATCTCTGCAATGACTAAAGTTTCAAACGGATTTAACAATTAAATTATGAGTTCTGGCCAAATTCCACAGCATCTACAAACCATGGATTTCATTCCCTTCTTTTGGGCGAAAAGAGAACCATGGAATTCTTCAACTGGGGAACAATGGAAGCAATCCCTCACAAAAGTTCAGCACAACCACAACAGGGGTGAAATCTGAATGTGACAATAGGTCACACTCAAAACTAACCACATCCAAGTCTATGCTACCTAGAAGGCAACGGATACAGTAACCTTATATATTCTAGTATAAATTCTACACTAATCCAAAACATACATGCATGTGCATCCAGTCTTAACAAAGAGAAAATTTCAAAGTAATTAACATGAAATTTGAGTACTGTAACAGAAATATGAGGGATGGAATATATGGAAGAGAGACAGTGACATGATCCAAATAAGCTGCAATAATTACTATATTTGATGTCTCATAAAAGTTCAGATGTTTGATGCAAAAGGTGTGTGCTAAATAGATGCTACAAGAAAATTAACCCTGTCGTTCATAGTCACTGGAACAAAGGCGCATTTAACTTTGGTATGACCCATTATTGTTTTACACAAATTTTTCATGTCAAACAAGTGATTTTGTGTGTGTGGGTATGCGTGGACATGCATATTTTCTGTCCATTTGGGATAGTTTATCATATTATGGAACAAACAATCAAAGACAGAATCATAAATTGCTATAAAACTCAGACCAAAAATAATAATAATAAACAAACCTGAAGATAACTGACTATATCCACTGTTGTAACTCTTGAGCCTCCTTCTTGTTGTCTACTGATCCACTGATAAATTTTATCCTGAAAAAACATATTTAACCAAGGTTCCATCAATAAAATGTAAAAATGTAGTCCAGTTTGAAAGAAATTTTACACATTAACAGGACAAGTATGTATGTACAAGATTTTAAACAAGGATATAAGGCATTTGCAGAAACTTTGTAGACCCATTGCCTAATGGGCTACAAGCTACAGAAAGTGAATGAAATTTTGAACAGGGAAGCACAAAGAAGCATGAGAAACCCCGCACCCTCAATGAACTAATCGAAAATAACATATTTAACAAATTTTTTAAATTCAGAAAAAGCCACACACAAGCCTAGGCTGGTTTCAGCCAGTTCACGAGAGACCTTTCCAGAAATATGCAAGGAGGAAGAAAATATTAAAGGCAAATCCATGTACCAAAAAGATAACTGTCAGAGAAAGGATGAAGGTTCAACATACACAAAAATAGTGGAGTCCAACTTACTAGAGAGTAGAGACATACCCCATCTTTTAAAAGAAAAAGGGCAAACCAATCAGTTGGAGAAAAGAATGGAACAAATCATTGAGTAGTGAAGACAAAATACAAACCCGTAAAGATATCAAAGTTTAGAAATATTTCCCACTTGAAGTTCTATGCCAAACAGCATCAGAATAGCAGCAAGAATGAAGAAAATTTAGTGACTTTAAATCCAACTAACTTTGTTCGGAGAGGAAGGAATTATCTTTTGTTTACATGGTGATAAGAATCAATCATGTTATCTAATATTTAGGGTTTTTAAAGATATAAACATCCAATTTAATCATAAACTAAAACAATGCATGAATAATTGGAACTCCCCAATAATTATCTAAGCACTTTGCACAAGTTGAATATTGATATTCATTACATTACCGACAGATACTAATGAGAAATTTGGGCATTTCTTATCCAACCAACTTCATATGACATGCTCACTAGAACTAATATTCACCCAATTCATAACCAAACAAAACACACACCAACTCATGAACCACAAAATCTAGGAATCCCCAAATTTCTAACAATTTGGGAAAAAAAAAGAAAAAAAAAGGGACCAACTTTAATTTGATCCTGATTAAGAATCAAGAACTGAATGAGGGAATCTGCGATTAGATTAACAACTAACAATTAAGAAGATGATAAAGGAGAGAAAGAGAGGCGTACGAGGGCGTGGCGTTCACCGGCTTGAAAGGAGAGCTTTTGGTGGTTCATGGCCTGAGTGTAGAGCTGAGAGAGAGAATTAGCGGCGCTGCAGAAGGAGGTGTACATGCTTCGATCCACCTCGTCGAGGCTGGTGGCTATGGACTTTCTCTTCTTCCCCATGGCTAAGGCTCTGAGAATCTTCTGATGATATCAGAAGAAGAAGAAACCAGCAGAAGGGTTTGTTGTCTCCCTCTTTGTGTGTGAGGGATTTCTGGTCTGATCGATTGATAAGAAGAAGAGAGTGAATTTATATCCCAAAAGGAGAAGAAGAGGGGTTATAGCGTTTGGGAAATTGGGAAATTGGGCTTTTTGTTTTGCTACATACACACGTATATAATTTATCAGAGGGCAGCACCAAGGTTTTCAGAAGAGGGAAGGACACATGGTTGCTATCGTGGCAATTCGTCCCACGTGAACATTGCTTCCATATCCAAAACTGTTACTTACACTCTTTTTTTTTCTTCCTTCTTTTTTTTCCCCAAAAGTAACAAAAAAAAGATTACAAGAGGTTTCTTGAGGTTTAGTCGAATTAGAAGTAATCCTTCTATTTTTGGAAATTACATTAAGAATTAGTCCATAAAAATTTAAAAATCATCAAATAAGAACTTATTATGAGTGCCGATTCAGCCCAGAATACGTAGGGTACAAGAACAAAGTCCAACAATTTAAATGGCACAAATTTTTTTGAATCTATCCATATATATAGGAAATTTAAAAAATATATATATATTTCTCCAAAGGTGTGATTAGGGCTGGGCATGGGTTGAGTTGGGCCGGTTTTGGTTACGACCCATAACCTAATCCATACATAGCAGTTTATAATTTTTTGAAGATAATTTCATTATTAAGCCAATCTAACTCAACCCAACACTCTAATAATCAGATTAGACGGTTCGATCGATTTAACCTGAAATTCTGCACAGCACACCCCTAGATGTGATAACATCAATCATAGTCGAGTTGACGCCTGAGTTCTCTTTGGTTTTTTTTCAAAACAAATGTAACTTAGTTAATTTAAATAACTACTATTTTACAATATTTATACGCTCTTTATCGCATCTCAAATCCATTTTGACGCGCACCCGCCTTTATTCTCTCAACTCCTCCTCCCTCATCACCGCCACTCCATTCCATGTTTTTCTGTCCCTTAATTGTTAAATTCATCTTCTTCTTTGGTTGAAAATTTTGATGCTTGTAATTGATGTCTATTAAAATTAAAATAAATATTTCGAATCTGATTTTTTGGGGGTCGTCTATATTTTCTTTTATCTCAAATTTTGAAGGTTGTAATTGATGCGTAAAAAATAAAAAAAAAATAAAAAAAAAGAAGGAGATTTTGGGTCTGATTTTTGCGAACATGCCTAAACAAAAGTCTAACCTTTTCAAAATAAATATAACATATAGAAAAATATTAGTTGACGGGAAAACTCAACATATTTTAGTTGAGTCTCTAGTCATTAAATATAAAGAACTGAATGCGTTATAGTCTAGTTTTGAGGGATCAAGATAGGGAGGCCAGCAGATTGTGGTTACTATTTAGACCTTCGTTCTGGGTCTTAGAACACACTTCTATAGTTCGACAACAACAATTAAGATCATCACAGAGGACTTCGTGTCCTTAGCATAACCTCTCCAACAACAAATCAAGAATCCAAAACGAGTCATAGACCCTCAAACCAAAATAAACATCAAATTTTAGTCACCCTAGGCATAACGGGCATATGAGAGCATAATCTAGTATACATCCAAACTAAAAAAATTTAATGAGGAAACTTTAAAGGCTCGAATCCTACAAATCAACTGATTATTGGTGGATAAGGAAGTCTCGACGTGCCGTTTATGTGACTTTAGTCATCTATGGCCTAATGCGAAAAATAGAGAAACAAACTGTGAAATAAATTTCATTAGGTCTAAAAATACTTATGTTGAACATACTAACTCCCAACTTTCACAAACTCTTGTAACAAAAACGCCCAAAAATATTTTTAAAACTAAGGTAATAGGATTATTTCGAACTCAATAAACTGATAATAATTTCGAGGTATGTAGTTTATATAGTTAAGAAACTACTATAAATTTTTAGACGAGCTTATAAAACTGAACGGCTACCACATCTAGCTAAAGCTGTATAATTTTAGAAGTGTAATCTAATGCAAATTCATAAATGCACATACCATTGTACTAAAAATACGTGCAAAAAAAAAAATCACACTAGTACCTAGGGGAAAAGTTGGTCATAACCTTGTGTTGAGCTCATCGCACAGAGATGCAAGACATGATGGCCATACATAAATGCAAAATATTCTTGATACATGTATGTTAGAGTAATCTCAATTAGGGGTGGCAATTTCGGACACGACCCGATACACGACTCGAAACCCGCACGAGAAATTAGCGGGTTCAACCCGCACGATAAAAAAATAGGTCAATTTCGGGTCAACCCGTTCTGACCCGTTTAATAAACGGGTGGGTTTCGGGTCAACCCGCTAACCCGCTATAATACCTACCTAACCCGTTTATTAAACGGGTCGTGTCACGGGTCGTGTCAACCCGCTATAATACCTGTCAACCCGCTAAAAAATGAAGAGAAATGGAGACTTCAGCACACACACAAGGGGTTTCGAACCCCTACCACCCTCATTTCTCTCAAACACCTTATTCATCATGCTACAAACAATTTTGTGATTTTATCATATGTCTTTTAATATTTATAATGTTTCTTTTTCTTTTGTGTTTTCCTTTCTTTTCCATCTCTCTTCTCCACTTTTTTTTTTCTTTCTCCTCTCTCTCTCTTTTTTTTTCTCTCTTTTCCTTTCCTCTTCTCTCCTTTTTTCTTCTTCTTTCTTTTCCTTCTTTTTAGTTTTCTCTCATCTCTCTTTTTTCTTTCTTTCTTTCCTTCAATCTTCTCTCTCTCTATTTTTTTTTCTTTCTTTTCCTTCTCTCTTCTCTCTTCTCTTTATCTTTTTTTTTTATTTATTTTCCTTATATTTTCTCTACTCTCTATGTTTTTTTTAATTTAAATTTTTTTCAACTATGAGTTTCGTAACATGCATATAATTATTTATGAACCCGTTACACGACTCGAAACCCGCACGATAAAAGACGACCCGAACCCGACACGACACGTTTATTAAATGGGTTGGGTTCGGGTTGAGCATTCTTGACACGTTTATTATCCCGACACGACACGAACCCGACACGACACGACCCATTGCCAGCCCTAATCTCAATGCACGTGTAAACAAAAATAATACGGTCATATACGAGCATGGACTTCCCCAAAAGGACTAGGCATTTTGACAGGACCAAAGCTCCTATGTCTGCCGCCCCACATGCCTAAAATTATTTATCTTAATTTATCTCACAAAGCATTTCATAGAACTTATTCTTAAAATTACTTTGTCATTTCGTTCACCATGATGCATAAAGACTATGCCAAAACGTTTGAAACAAACAAGATATGCCAAAACCTTGTAAACCCTTTCTCCCTTTGCGTAACAAGATTAAACATTAGATTACAAATCAACCAAGTTTATGTATTTGCAAAATGGTAAATATGCATCAATCCTAAATCATGTAGATTTGTGAGGATCAAGCCTTATGTCAACTAAATGAAAACACTTAGAGAATTTTTTATTTTATTTTATTTTTTTTAAAGTCCAACTCACAATGCTATTATGCTAAAATGGATACTTAGTTGGATCTCTTTGGAATTGCTCAAACCGTATCACCCAAACGATAAGAAACATTTGATTAAACTAACCCCTAAAGCTGTAGAGGCATATATGGGTTGAAAAGACTCACACAAGTCCTTCGAAACCGAAAGCTTCAAGAGATAAAGAGATTGAGCACTTACCTTACTCGGGGATGGTTGAAATTAGCCAAAATAGACAAAAAGCTACAGGAATACGTCAAACATTAGGAACCTAAACTTTATGCACAAATGAATTCAGCATGTGAATCTTGTACCAAAAGAAAAAAAGATGTTAAGACAAGTTGGTAACCTCTGGCCTTATCTATATAAAGTAGACAGAAAATGGTGAAACATTCAAAATACCAGAAAATGCCCTTGGTTAATTTAAACATTAAAATTTGAAATTATTAATTAAATGAGGATAACATGGTAAATTCACTTTTTTCATATTAAAAAAATTAAAATTAAAAACAAAATCAGATAATAGGTCCTACTTTTATGGAATATAAATATCCATGTTATTTTTTCTTAATTTTAAAAATAAAATAAAAGAGAAAAAAAGAAAACCAATTGGCACATGCGTGTGCTCAAGGGCTAGTATGATTTTATCACAAAGTTAGGGCTAGTCAACATTTCATATGGGGTGGAGGAGAGAGAAAAGAACAGTTTTTAGGAGAAAGAAATGGCCGTTTTTTGTTTAAATTTCGCCCATATAAATTACTATATTACCCCTCAACTTCAAAAGGTCATAACTTTCCTATTTTAACTTTTTTTTTACGAACAGTTTGCATTTGCGCATCATAGGCTCGAGTGCTACCTAACCATGCTAATATGAAATCTAGAAGGCTTATTTTATATTATTTTACTGGGATTTCCACAAAATTTGAGAGCATTTTGTCCAAATTATTTGAAAGTTCAAACTTCAAGGATAATTTCATGGCGGGTGTTATTAGGGGTGGCATTTTAAACCGAAAAACCGAAAAACCGCAAAAACCAACCGACAATTTACCGCAATGAAACCGCAATCGCGGTAAACCGAACCGCATTTGCGGTATTAAGAACCGAACCGCATTTGCGGTTGCGGTTGCGGTATTTGATTTTCAAAACTTGCGGTTACCGCAAACCGCAAAGTATAGCCACACGGATGATGAAGTTGAATTTTACAAGGAAATGGAACATATGACAACTTGTAAGTAATTAGTTTATTTAT